GTCCTCATTGGTAAATATACAGAGAATTCAGCACTTTTCCATTTATAAAGGGACATAACTCTCGAGAACAGTGAAAATGAGGCCACCCTAATTTGAACTTGGTCTCTGTTTGGTGGTTATAAGTATTGTGCATATAAGTTTCATAACATTTGGTTGAGAAAAACTTAAGTTAGAGAATGGAACACAATTTTGGGATGTCTGTACATACAGACAGACAGACAAGGGTAAACCATAATGCCCCCTTTGTCGCAATGTTCAGAGGCATAAAAATACAATGTGCCTATAAGGCGTATACAATTAATATTTTCGGCTCATTTGACACTAAAGGGAAAAAACAGACAGTGTATTAGGATTGATGATGAAGGCCATTTCTATTATACACTCATGTATAAAACAAACTTATACATGTACACAGAATTTAAGATTATGTGGAATAATCACTTTTAAAGGCTTTTTGGGATTCTTGAGTTCAGAGCGATTTTCTCTGTTGGCCAATCAGGGCTCTATATAATCCCATTTTGAGATTATGTATCTAGAACAATATTCTGATTTGGCCACCTTCAGAAAATCCCTCCAGACACAGAATCCTGAAAGGGATTAGGCACTGGACTTGGAATCTTTCTCAGTTGCATAGGAAACACCTGATTCATAATGAATTGATTGCATTCTTCTGTCTGACAAATCACAAAAATTTTACTTAATATTATTTGAATAGCTTACAGCATCCCATACAACTGCTGCAACTCCTAAATTTCCCCAGTCTTGTTTTATCACAAGTTCTGTATTTACAAAATTGAAAGTCCTGGACGTCTTAACCAATGGGGACAATTTGCTCTCATCGTACACCACTACGGCCGTGGATGACTGTTGACAAGACATCCCACATGTTTCAGTATTCAAACAGTCAGTAAAGTGCAGTGTCAACTCTATAATTAGGACAAAAAGTTTTTGCCTGCTGAAGTGAAAGAGAAACCACATTGGACGATCACGTGATCAGCTCAGAGAGGAAGTGCGAAAGTTTCGAATCTATCTGATTGAATGGACTAACGAGTTCGTTAGTTATCATTTTTTGCAAAAAAAAAATAAATAAATATGTGTGTTTTTTATTTGTTCTTCAAATAAAGTTTCACAATGGGCCTTTGAAAATCTATCCTACTTCTTTTTAAACTTGTAGCTTTGCAAGGCTGTTGCTAAGCGAATACGTACACTTCCGGTCTGTTTATTGTTTTGGTTGAATACACGAAATTATGGCCACGAATAAAAACATAAACGAATGTGGTAAGTCGATTTATGACAATAATTGTGGCTTGCAAGTAGACAATGAATCATAAAATTTCATTGGAAATGAATAAGAAGTTATGGGAAAATTTATCGATAGTTTTTGTCATGAGCTCGTCATCTGTTTTTCTACTTGTGCTGAATATTCTGGCACAGTGAAGTCTCATTTTAAGTATTAAGTATTAAGATTAAGTATGGAAGAAGCATTGCCAAAAAAACATTCATTGATTGTCAAACTAAACTTGCCAACCTGTCAAATTAACTTTTGAATTTGAGTCAGTACTATAGGGGAACTCTGCATAATTTCTAGTTTCAAAATGGCAGTGTCTGAGCGTATCCGCATGCGGGTACGAATAGTCAAATTGCCAATCATAGGCTACGAGTACCCACATCTGGTTTCATATGCCATCGGATAGGGAATAAAAAGTGAAATATATATGGAAATTATCGATAATATGGGAAAAATGTATTCTGTTAAACTTTAAATCTTCGATCTTTAATTTTTGTGTTTCCAGTTCTTCTTTTCTCTGCAGCTGCAATTCACTCCGAGTTTCTTTTATACAGTTGTATAAAATTAATCGACTGATGGTTCTGAACAAATTGTTCCAATTCATGATAACATTGAAATGTCTTCCCCACATGTATATCACTCTCTTCCTTTTTAAGAATATTTATTAATTGAGAAAAACTGTTCACTTTCCTATATATAAATATATTTAAAAATTCTGAGTAGTTTTAATCAATTTATTCACTAATTGCGACAAATTCTGTATATATTTCACGTTTCATTCCCGATCCGATGGCATTTTATTATAAAACCGGATGTGGGTACGCGTAGCCTATGAATTGCAATTTGACTATTCGTACCCGCATGCGGGTACGCGCAGACACTGCCTTTCAAAATAACATGGCAGTGTCCACTAGAATGTTGCTATTTGATATGACACAGGTGTTACCGGTGAAGGAGTAAGAAATACTGATTTTTGCAAAATTAACACTAAATTATGTAGTCAGGCAGGTTTAGGAATTTTTGTCAGATGTTCTGACTCCTTGGGTTTTTTTCTATGATACAGGATAAAATATTTTGCCCCTAATCACCAGCTTTTCTTTTCATAGAAGACTTCATAAAAAGGCCATTACCAAAATCTAAGCAGATTCTAGATTTTTTTCTTAGGATTTGAGACCCAAATAATGCCAATGCTAAATTTAAGGTAAAAGTCTAAGTCAGTCATTTTTTAAAATCAAATTTCTCAAAAAGGAGTTCCATAACCTATAGGTATAACAACATTTAAGTACAGTGTACTAACAAACTGGTTTCGAAAATTTTGCATTTCCTTATTACTAAGGCCATTGATTATTTTTTTAATTTGGCAAATGAAGACATTTTAATTAAAAATTCGTAAGAGTTCCACGGAACCCAGTGTCTTGCCTACTTTTACTGTTGTCTATGTTTTCAGTGTTATAGGGGAATGCACATAATAGATGTTTTAAAAACTTTAACAGCAGACTGTATGTAATGTTAACTGGGAAAAAAAACTAAGTCCATTTATAAGTTATATACGGAAAAACAGGTACTAAATTTTTACAAAATTTCCTTCTAGATACTAGCTTTTGGTCATAGACAAGCTTCTGCTCATGTTTGATACAAATCCAGGATAGTAAGAAAGTTATTAAAATTTTTAAAACTTTAACCACAGAGTAAATGTAATGTTGACTGGCAGAAAAGCTAAGTCCATTTATAAGAAAAATATACAGAAAAACAGGATTTTTTTTTTACAAAAATTACTTCTTGATACTATCTAATGATCATAAACAAGCTTCTGTCCAAGTTTGGTAGAAATGCAGGATAGTTTAAAAAAGTTATTAAAATTTAAAAAACTTTAACCACAGAGTGAATGTAATGTTAACTGGCAGAAATCCTTAGTCCATTGAGAAGTAAAATATGGAAAAATAGGATTTTTTTTTGACAAAATTTACTTCAGGATACTATCTTATGATCATAACCAATTTAAGCTTCTGTCCCAGTTTGGTAGAAATCCAGGATATTTTAAGAAAGTCATTAAAATTTTAAAAACTTTAACCACAGAGTGAATGTTACATGTATGTTAGTTAACTGGCAGAAAAACTAAGTCCATTTTTAAGTAAAAATACGGAAAATAGGATTTTTTTTTTACAAAATTTACCTCTGGATACTACATGTACACTGTATCTAATGATCATAAACAAGCTTAGAACTGTCCAAGTTTGGTAGAAATTCAGGATAGTTTAATAAAGTTATTATAATTTTAAAAACTTTAACCACAGAGTGAATGTAATGTTAAGTGGCAGAAAAACTAAGTCCATTTAGAAGTAAAATATGGAAAAACAGAATTGTTTTTTACAAAATTTACTTCTGGATATATACTATCTTATGATCATAACCAATTTAAGCTTCTGTCCAAGTTTGGTAGAAATCCGGGATAGTTTAATAAAGTTATTATAATTTTAAAAACTTTAACCACAGAGTGAATGTAATGTTAACTGGCAGAAATCCTTAGTCCATTGAGAAGTAAAATATGGAAAAATAGGATTTTTTTTTGACAAAATTTACTTCAGGATACTATCTTATGATCATAACCAATTTAAGCTTCTGTCCCAGTTTGGTAGAAATCCAGGATATTTTAAGAAAGTCATTAAAATTTTAAAAACTTTAACCACAGAGTGAATGTTACATGTATGTTAGTTAACTGGCAGAAAAACTAAGTCCATTTTTAAGTAAAAATACGGAAAATAGGATTTTTTTTTTACAAAATTTACCTCTGGATACTACATGTACACTGTATCTAATGATCATAAACAAGCTTAGAACTGTCCAAGTTTGGTAGAAATTCAGGATAGTTTAATAAAGTTATTATAATTTTAAAAACTTTAACCACAGAGTGAATGTAATGTTAAGTGGCAGAAAAACTAAGTCCATTTAGAAGTAAAATATGGAAAAACAGAATTGTTTTTTACAAAATTTACTTCTGGATATATACTATCTTATGATCATAACCAATTTAAGCTTCTGTCCAAGTTTGGTAGAAATCCGGGATAGTTTAAGAAAGTTATTAAAATTTCAAAAACTTTAACCACAGAGTGAATATTTGTGGACGACGACGATGCCGACAACGGAATGTAGGATAGCTATGTCTCGCTTTTGCGACAAAAGTCACAGGCTCGATTAAAATCACTAAATTGTGAACAAAAATTAAAAAGCAGCTGTTCAGTAAAAAAAATGGGAACTGAAATGTTCTGATACTGAAATGTTTGGAATTATAGAGCCAAATTGTTTTGAACAAGGTGATGATCGAAGCACCTTGTTACACTCAAAGTTACCAATTAGTTATAAAAATGATAATAATTGAAGCTGGCATCTACATGTATACAATGACCTTTAACTGGGACTCTTAAGAAATTATTTCTATCTCATATTGATATCTATTTTTTATAATGTTTTATATTATATAAAAATAAGAAGATATGGTATGATTTCCAATGAGACAACTCTTCTCCAAAAGAGACAAAATGACATAAAAGATTACTGGTAACAACTGTAGGTCATCAGACTTCAACAATGAGCAAAACCCATACTGCATAGTAAGATATGATATTATGACTGTTATGTGAATGTACATGTATGTATATACATTTTTTATTTGTGCATGTCCAAATTAATAATTTAAAAACAAATGTCTTTTAAGGTTGGTTCTACCATGCCCCTGCTAAACCAAAGGCACCATCAGAGCCTGTGATGTTACCAGCAACCTCACAAATCCCAGGACTGAATGCTGAAATAGAAGGACAATATCAGGATGACCCAATTAAACCACTGTTCCGTGAGACGGATTCTAAATATATCAGACTGGCCAAACAGGGTGGTAGACAAAGTAAGATTATCTCATTGCATAATTATACAATATTAAATTTCTATTTGAATATAGGCCTATAAATATATGGCTATCTTATGGTTTAAAGAAATTAAACTATATTAATTAAATTGAAGAAGTAGCCTTATTTGGTGAACATTTAATCTTAAGTTTTATGTTAAATGTTGTCTTTTCAACTTTTTTTTCTTTCCATGATGTTGTCTGTCTTTCTCTGTTTTATGTAAACCCTGGAATTTTTATGACATTATATCAGTTTATATCAGTACTTTCTTTTTAATAAATTATATTATAATTATGTTAATAAGAAGTTGAGTGTTTTCATCAGTAGTAAAGTAGTCTTAATTCATTTAATGAATTGTTTGGTTTTGTAAATTGTAGATTTGTTACAGTTCAAAGAAAATCCAAACATGCGTGAAAGAGCACCAAAAGGATATCCCAGGCCTGAATGGTTTTATCTCGAGGATAATGCCCTTGAGGATGCTGAATTGAAAAAGACCGAACAGTAAGAGTTTTTATTTGATAAAAATAAAACTTTCTTTGGTAGCAAACGTACCTGATCAAGTTCTTTAAAGATACATGTTGTTTAGGAAAGAAAGGATATGTGATCGATTTTCATTTTACAAAAAAAGAGTCAAAAGATACCATGGGGACATTCAAAACTCATAAGATGTAAAGAAACTGACAACACCATGCCAAAAATGAAAAACAACAAACAAACAAACAAGTCCACATGAACCCATAAAAAACCAGGGCTGATCTTTGGTGCTCTGGAAGGGTAAATAAAAATAAATAAAAACTAGAAAATAGCAAATATAAACAAACCTTTGATTCTGATCTTCATCTTGAAATTTGCTTGAAGGTCATTCGATCAAGATGTATGAAGGGATCATCTTCACATTGTTTTTAGTAAACTATAACTGTAAGGTTTTTTTTTGTTTTTTATACCATGTATATTTAAATGTCTCAGAGCTGCTAGATAGAAATATACATGGAGCCCAGGGAAGTTGTTTAGAAATCTCAAAACTTCATTAGGTTGGTGTTAAATACTAATTTTTGTAAAGTGAAAAAGTATTTGAAATTGAAAAGTTTTCTAAGTGCCCACTGTGAGTACCATATGTTTTAATGGAACCCCTCCCTCTTTCTTTGTGGACTTTTTATGGGACCTGCTTTGAACACCATAGCGCCAAAGCTACAAAATGTCCTTGTTTTTAGTTTGACTCTTGTATGTAATTTATTTTCTTTTGTAGACTCAATCATGACATTGAATATCAGTACATGGTACCTGAATATATGGTCCATGAGGAATGGAAACCTGAAACAGACTTCTATGAGAGACCAAGAAGGCAACCATTCTCCTTTGATAGGTTGTCAGCATTTGAGAGGGAAGGAGAAAGAGTAACAGATAAGACAATTAAATTGCCAGAAGTTAAAAAACCTGGCTTTGGTGTTCGCAGTGCTAAGCCATTAAAGACAAAGCCAAGACCACAAGAAAGGACAAAACCATCAACAGTAGCTAAACAGTCCCAGTTAGAACAGGAACGACCTCATCTTAAATATTTACCATTGTAAGTGAAATTATCTAATTTTTTTGGATACTAATTATAACTAAAAACCTCTTGAAATATAAAAATTAGAATTCAATGTCTTCCATATTGCCTTAACTTGACATAGTTTAGGGATTTTTATTACAGAAAGTGTTTTATATTTTTTTTTTAACAGATTTTCACTGTTTCAACAATTGATTCGCTATTTTAGCATTATTTGTTAGAACCAGACTGCAAACGTAACACAAACAACATTTCTTTTTTTTTTTATGTCTGATATTAACTTGAGATATATAGGTACTTAGTCTCAGATTTTTCGATATATATTGAAATTGGAATAAAATGTGATTCGTGATATAAAAATTTTTGGTAAGTGAAAAATATTCATTTTGTGTCAAGCAGCTGATATAATTCAATATATTTGTGTGACAAAATTCTGAAAATCTATTTATAATGTTTAATTTGGGTCCAATATGGAAAATGCAGGAACCCTATAGTTTTGACTTTGGCTGTCTCTCGTCAACAATTTTGGTTAATGTAAAATATGTTATCATGAATTGAATTCTGGTGTCAAAACTTATCTGTCTGCTCCCATTTTCAAAATGATTGTCAAAAAAGAATTTTGAGAAACAACGCTACTCTTACACAATTTAAAATATAGATAGATACTTAAATCTGCTTCATTTGGACTCTGCTGGATAGTTGTCTCATTGGCAATCATACCACATTTCCTTATCTTATATAACTTAAAATTTGATATTTATTATTCAGACCTGAGGGAGATTCAAATGGAAATGGCAAACCATCTATGTCAAAGATTCTAGGATATGAATATGAGAAAAAGTGGCACGACGAGGTCAACAAATGGCAATTCAAACAAGATAAACTGAGAGCACAACATAGAGCCATGCTAAATGAACAGGATAAAGAACAAGGGGCATCAGAATACAAGTCAACCTTTGGGAAACCAGCCAGACCCCAATATGTCCAAGAGTAAGTATAATTCAAACAAATATCCCATCAAACCAACATTCAACAAACCTAAGTCCAGGAATATAGAATATCTCCTGTATACTATTCATAATTTACCCCCATAAAACCAACATTCAACAAACCTAAGTCCAGGAATATAGAATATCTCCTGTACTATTCAGAATTTACCCCCATAAAACCAACATTCAACAAACCTAAGTCCAGGAATATAGAATATCTCCTGTACTATTCAGAATTTACCCCCATAAAACCAACATTCAACAAACCTAAGTCCAGGAATATAGAATATCTCCTGTACTATTCAGAATTTACCCCCATAAAACCAACATTCAACAAACCTAAGTCCAGGAATATAGAATATCTCCTGTACTATTCAGAATTTACCCCCATAAAACCAACATTCAACAAACTTAAGTCCAGGAATATAGAATATCTCCTGTACTATTCAGAATTTACCCCCATAAAACCAACATTCAACAAACCTAAGTCCAGGAATATAGAATTTCTCCTGTACTATTCAGAAATTATTGGGATGTTTTTATGAATGCAAAAAATAAAACCTTATTACATTTGCATTTAAAAACTTTTGCATTCTTAATTTCAGAAGTGATATTCCTTCATAAAATTTTAATAGTCACATTAATTAGATTTCACATTTTTGCCAGTGGTCAAGGATTGACAATTATAAGTACATGCATTAAATTCTGAATTTACAGTATTTGTTTTACTCACAGTATTAAATTCTAAATGTAGTCAAATTCTAGTGATAACTGGATATTAGTGAATCTTTATCATATTTGTACTGTAAACATTTTTCAATAATTTTAAATATTTCCAAAACAATAAAAAAAAAACGTTATTCCGTGTTAGATTTGAACATGTTGCTGTTGAAAGCATTTTGATCCAAACTACAAATTTTTAATGTTTTTGTTAAATTTTGCATTGAAGGAGGTCACTTATCAAAATTAATTAATTTATTGTCCTACAGATAATATATTTCTTTACTTCACACAGCAATTGAGTTTTTGTTAAGGGTGTCCTTCTGATATATTTTGTTGAAAATTGCTGGTTTGCAGCTATCTTCAGGCATTTATGATTTGGTGACCTGTTTAGAAATAAGCCTTCCTCTTTGTATTTGACTTTTTTACTATTAGAAATTGGCTCTGAATTGGCACTACTTCCTAACTTTTAATGCTTGCTTGTTAGCCAAGTTAATTATTAACTCAGTCAGGCTAACACATATCATCATGAGTTAAATTTGCATTACTACTTGATATAAAAAGAATGGTGAATTTATCAATGAGACAGCAACCTAAAGACACAATTAAACAGATAAAAGACTGATGCTTAATTATCAATAATTATTTTAGCTGCTGTTCCCTTTAAAGAATACAAACAACAAATTCACTATCGGTCAATTTCGGCAAATTTGTGTACACCTAAATGTAGAAATATAAATATAAAAGAACAAAATTATGATGAAAAAATATCACAAAAGTGCTTATATACAAATGATAGAATGGAAGTCCAGGAAGATACTAGAAAAAATACTTGTAAGTCATGAACATTCCAGTATATCTTACGATCTATTTATGTTGTAAGATTTTTTGTGAAAAAATTCCCGGAGCTATATATAAAATATATTATTGATGCTTTTTACAGAAAAGGAAGAAAAGTATATGACACAAGATCCTACAAATCACCCACTACAGACAAAGCAGCGAATCAAGAAAAAGAATTGTTCAAATTAACAAGGTATGATTCTTATTTATGATTAAAAGGAGATTTGAGGGTAAGCATCAATAAGATATTTGAGGGTAAGCATCAATAAGATATTTAAGGGTAAGCATCAATAAGATATTTGAGGGTAAGCAACCAAATGACACATAATAACCAATAGATGTGCCTTTAAACAATAGATAAGTGTCTAAACAATGTGTCATACTCTTAACCACACCAAAGTCTAAGAAAGTTTTTGTATTAGTAATAGTGTTTTATCATTCGAGAAAGGTTGTTTTATATTACCCCTTGACTACATGATTTAATCCTTGATTTTGTGTCCAGTATCAGAATGCAAGGAAGTATTGGATGTCAGTCAAAAATTAGTTATCAAGCATCAGAATATAACCAAAATGGGCATCAGTTAGAATATATGTTATATATAGTACACTACTACATATAAAATTCTAGAAATTTCAGTTTTGCCCTTAAGTGGGGTGAAAGGAATATGAGTAAGTGGAGAATGTTGTTTCCACACTGACTTTCAGTGGAATAGAAGCAATAGTTAATATTTCAGATTTTTACATCAAATTTACTTTTCGCAGTGTGATTTCTTTAGAACTAATATTGCCTATCAATAAACTTATATTCTAATTCTAAATCATATGTAAATTTTGCATGTTCTAATTTCTTGGTGTACAATTTAGCAAGATTCATAATGTCTTATATTCTTTTCAGATTTAAGAATGTTGGTTCCAAGATAGATTCACACAATCCACTAGTAACATCCAATTCAAACAGACCGGCAGTGGCAAGCCATTAACCTGGGTGGGAAGTGGCATTTCCTTACCCACAGTCAGGCAGTGGCAGGCCATTGTAACTAACAATCACTGAACAATATAATATTATCTAAATGAACAAATTTTTGAAATAATATTTATGTTGCCTTAGAACCAGTATACCACAAAATATTATACAAGCAACAAGTTTTAGTAACATCAATCAGAGAGATTTTTCAACTAGAACAGTTTGTGAATGATTTATAGTTTTGGAAAACATTCTATGTTGAGCGATCCGTTTACAAACATACAACTCAATGCAATTATGTAAGGATTTTAATGAAAACATCTTTAGTTAGCGGTCAGTTTTTTAGTTGTTGAATATTTTCATTTTGTTTTAGAAGTTATTAGGCAGTTTGTATAATTTGTTTTCAACTGTTCTTATAATGAATAAGTTTTATCAAGTGCCTTGTTTCAACTTTTGTTACCAATGATCTTAAAACCATTGTTAGTAATTTTTATTGTGTCATTTTATAAGGTTTATTTTTATAGTAAAAACAGTCTTTTAACATCATTTTGACCTTACACACCCATGATGAAGAAAGATTTTTTTTTACTAACAGCTATGAGTCCCATTGTGGCATCAGAAATCGTGATAAATATTTAATTTGGTATATATGTTCTAACAAAATTTTCACTATGTACAGCGGTTAAAAAATATTTTATAGCTAATCATTTTTTTTAAAATTAGTGTTATTAGTTTAAAAACATTTCCTCATTATTGGTAATTTTCTCTGAATTAAATCAGTAGATGGTATATTACACGTTCACTTTATATCATCAGTAATCAACCTGTGATTTACTCTACACCAGCAAGAGTTAACAGAATTATCCTGTGTTAACTGTGCATAGTATTGGATTATCTTAGTTGAGAAAACACACAAGCAACATAGTTTATAGTTAACTTAAGTATCTGACATATCTGGCATATATAATTTGTAATGTTGTTACTTTTTAATTGAGAACTTTTCTGGTGTAGGGGAGATAATCCAATTTGAATTGTGTTACATTGCCATTTACAAATGCACTGTACATCTGGTACTTACTTGGGCCTTGTGTGTTTTTCTATTTTTAGGACTCAGATCATTGTCAAAAGAAAGTATTATTTTATTTTTTGACTTTTCATAACATTATACTTTTATATTGCAAGAAAATGCATCTTGTTGAATTTTCTTTACATTTGTTAAGACATGGTTTTTGTAAAAAAGATTTTATGTACTACATAATTTTCTTTGCATTTGAAGTTGTTGTGCAATTTTGAATGTAGATAAAATAAAGAAATAATGATAAAAGTGTTTACAATCTATTTTCTTTGATGTATCCCCGTAAGTGGGTTTCTGTTGTAATTTTTGTATGTTTATTTGTTGGTATTTTACACCACTTCCTTCACCCAAGGCCTAATCAAGGCGGCCAGGTTCTATTGGTGGAGGAATTGGAGTTATTACAGGGAACCACTGACCTTTCCTAAGATCAGGTGAAATGAGAATAGACATAGAAAATAAATGTAGTTCAGACAATTTCACATACAATAGGTTAAATTATCATTATTGTTTGTGTGTAACTGAATTTTCATTTTGTGGGTTCAGGTGAACCTTTAAATCTAAGTGTTCAAGTACAGAAAATAGAAGTGGTTAAAACCATGAAATCAAGTACAAATGTATCCACGAACATTCAATTGTTTACTCAAACCACAAAAATTACTACACAGGAACATAACGAATATATACAGTAATTCATAGAGGACAATAAAAAGTAAAACTACGCTTTTGGTACATAGTGTATTTTTACCTCTCCTATTTTCGTCACTTGACGTCCTTAGTCTGCTGTCGTCCGTTAACTTTTACAAAAATCTCTGCAATTAACTACTGGGCCGATCGGAACCAAAAATGTGTCCAGTGATTACTCCTACATACCTACAGGGCTAAAAATAGAACATAAATCTACACGGCTAAAATAGCACATAAATAGAATAAAATTCAAGTTTTGTCTATTATCTTGAAAACTGCTATAGATAGAGAAAATCTGACATGGTCTATGTACTCTCTACTTATTCTTTTATATTTGCCTATAATTTGGAATACTAAACAAGATAGAGAGAAACTTAAGCATACAAAAATGTTCAGCAACACAAGGTCTACATCGCTAAAATTATAAAAAATTATAAGGATAGGAGTTATTGCTCCTCAATGATAATTTTGACAAATCTTTTGCATGTTTGTTTAATATCTTGAAAGCTATGTATGACAGATAAAGAGAAACTTTAAATAGCAAAAATTATCAGCAGGACAAAGTCAAATTTATCAACATGGCTGAAGCCTATTGTTGAATTCTTATGAGAGTTATTTCCCCTTACTGACAATTTTTACCAATTTCTTGCATTTTTGGCCAAAACTCCAACAGATGGAAGAAAAATTTCAAAAAGCAAAAGTTATCAGAAGGACAAGATTTGCAAAAATATGAACATGGCTAGAAATTTTGGTTGAGTCCTTATAGGAGTAATTGCCATTTGATGATGATTTGTACCCAACTTTTGAATATTATTATACAGAAAATATAATAGATAGTGAGAAACTTTATAATACAAAAATGATGAGCAAGACAAGATCTACCAACAATGATGAATTTGACTAATCTTTTATGTGTTTGCTTATTATCTTGAAAACTACAATAGGTAAAGTTGCCATGTTTTGCATTTTTGGTCAAGACTACAGTAGATGAAGAAAATTTTTAACAGCAAATATGATTGGATTGATTGATTGATTGTTGGTGTTTTAACGCCACTTTTAAGTGCCACATTTGGGCTATTTCGTGGCAGTCAGATTTTATTGGTGGAGGAAGCTGGAGTGCCCAGAGAAATCACCGACCTTCGATAGGAAAACTGACAATCCTAGTCAATTAAGATTGGAGTCAAGTGCACCTGCACGAGCAGGGTTCGAACTCACAACCTCAGTGTTGACTGGCTAGTGATTACAGTAGTAGAACTACTTAGACCAATTGGCCACCAAGGCCCCAAATATGATCAGAAGGACAAGATCTGCAAACATTACAGCATGGCCTGAAATTACAATCAACTTATAGGAGTTGATGCCCTTTGATGCTGATTTTTACCCATTATTGTACGACCGCAAAAAATTTGTGTTAGTATATTGCTATCATGTCGTCGTCTGAAGACATTTGGTTTCCAGACAATAACTTTAGTATAAATGAATGGATTTCTATGAAATTTAACCACAAGGATCAATAGCACAAAAGGAAGGTTGGGATTGATTTTGGGGGTCATGGTCCAAACTGTTTAAGAATTAGGGGTAAAAAAGAGTCCAAAAAAGGCATTTTTCTAGTTTCTGGACAATAACTTGTGTATAAGAATATGGATCTCTATGAAATTGTACCACAAGGTTCCATACCACAAAGGGAAGGTTGGGATTGACTTTGGGGGTTATGGGCCAAACCGTTCAGGAATTAGGGGCAAAAAACAAGGCTTTTCTGGTTAATGGACAATTACTTAAGTATTAGTCTATGGATCCTTATGAAATTGAAACACAAGGTTCCATACCAGAAAGGGAAGGTTAGGTTTGACTTTGAGGGTTATGGCTTAAATCGTTCAGGAATAAGGGGCAAAAAGGGGGGACAAGGTTTTTCTGGTTTCCGGACAAATACTTATTAATAAGTATTAGTCAATGAATCTCTATGAAATTGTACCACAACTTTCCATACCAAACACAGAAGGTTGGGATCGATTTTGTTGGTTGTGGCTTTAATCGTTATGAAACTAGAGGCCAAATAGGAGCCAAAAACAAGACTTTTCTAATACTGGCTAAGCTGGTTCTAACATAAATTATTTCTGATCTATATATAGAAACAACAATTAAATACTGATATGACAAGAGATACATACCAAATAGGGTGTGTAAATTATTATATTTAGTTTGTAATCAGATTTACTAAGTATTGCGCAACAGCAAAGTATTGCACAACAGCAATTGAAAATAAGTACAAATCTTTTAACCAATTTCAATGAGGATTAATTTAAAGTCTTTAATTGTTTGAGGTTTTTACCATGTATTACTATATTGGATATTTGGACATTTTTAAATAGGTCTACATTGAGGTCCAAAGGGTGCAATATTAGACTTTGTTTGATTTCATCAAAAACTGAATTCTTGTGGTTCTATGATATGCTGAATCTAACTGTGCATTCAGATTTTTTATTTTGGGCCCTGTTTTCAAATAAGTCCATAATAAGGTCAAAAGGGTCTAAAATTAAACTTTGTTTGAATTCGTGTTTTTTTTTTTATATGCTGAATCTAACCATGGATTAGATTTTGGATATTGGACCATTAAGTAGATTAAATGTCCCATTTCAAATTTTTAAGTTATCCGACCACATTTATTCTCTCTCAGAAATCTATAATGTGTCAAATATTTAATTACTATCCAAATTCAGAGCTGTGTCAAGCTTGAATATTGTGTCCATACTTGTCCCAACTATTCAGAGTTCGACCTCTGCGGTCGTATCCAGCTGTGCCAGGCGGAGCGCATTTTTTGCTTATTAAACAGAAACTATAATCGCTATCCACTTCATTTGAACTTTGGTAGATAGTTGTGTCATTGGCAATGATGCCACATCTCCTTATTTTTATAAAGAAAGACTAAAACTATACTAGCAAGACAAGATCTACAAATGAGTCAACTTTGCTGAAATCGTCAGTTGGCGCCTAACAAGAGTAATTCCCCTTAATTTACGATGTTTACCCTTTTTTATATGTTAGACAAAACCTATAGAAGATGAAGAGAAACTGTAATCAGATCTACTTATTGGTCAACAAAACCGAAATTGTAAGTCCACTTCTTATAAGGTATATATATGCCTGGGGCCAGTCTTGGAGTGACTGTGTAGTTAAGGTGTCACATGTTCCAGCAGACTTTATGACCTGATGAGGTAGCAAAGTTCAGGGCGATTTAAAGATTCATTTATCCCTGAAAACCCCCGATCCTGCGCCTAACAAATTAACCATTAAGTACCATGTGAAAATACTAACGGAGAAATTAAGTACCAGGATGAAAAAATCCAGCACAAAGAGAACAGTTGTGTCATAATATTGACCTTAGGATCAGGATCAGGTAGCACATTAAAAATCTGACTCATCTTGTCAGTCTAGTACACAACAGGGTATTTTTATATTTCTGTAATATATTTTGTCATGAATGTAATATTTGCCACTAGACATCAAGCAACCATCATTCAATTGTCAATCTATTGGAAAATTTAACAAGCACTGTGTTACTTTCAATAATTCACAAATCCTTTTGTTAAATGAAAATAGCAAACGCGATTAAAACAAATAAAAATGCATTAGTTTACAACTTATTTTATTCAATCAATTTTACAATCATTGCAGAAATTAGGGGAATGGAAGAGGGTCTGACTGGGGTTATCAGAATAGAGAAATATGGCCCTTTAAAAAATAAAGAATGCAGTATTCAGCCCCCCCTCTCAATCCATACACTCATGGAAAACGATAGAAATCCATCGTAAGAAAAGAACCCATGACCGAATCGCGGATGAATAAAACTGTTTGGTGGAAGAGCGATAACAGTTGCAGATGTAGATTTAGCAGTGAATGTGTTGTGAATGATGAAGTTGTCTCTCTATTTTACATGCACTGTCAAATTGCAGGTCTAGACACCTTCAAAGTACATAGTTTGCTCGAAAAGATTTTCATTTTCTAACAGAAAAAACAAACTTGTAGTCGGTATACATTAATTTTGTTTGCACTTGAGTTTCTCAATAGCAGCACACATGTTTTTGGGATAACTATTTTAAGGGTTAATTGGCATTGACCAAGATGGGATTGTGTGTCAGTTGGAGTTTACACGGTTATGAAGCAACCATATTCAGTGCTACGCGACCCAACTATACATGTTTAGGGTGTGGGGGAAAGGGGGGGGGGGGTGGAGGTCTCGTCCAAATCCCGAATTCCCGTGAAAATGATGTCTACGTTCTCCGCATCACGATATAAATTAATCCCGATTTCCCAACGATTAAACTGGCTATTACCGAATTCTCGCGAATTAAACCGCCCAATACCGAATTTCCTTCCGCCCCTCTTCAGTGATATTCGGAAACAATGGTCTTTTCTGTTAAATACTTAATTTTAAAAATGGTAAATAACTATTAATATTAAGATTATTTATCTTAGCTTACACTCGGTGTTTAATTTTCTTTTCTTTTTTTAATGCATGTAAACTAAAACTGGTATTGTTTGATTGTGCTGCTTCTTTTATTTGCAAGATCTACTTAACTAGGAAAAATTATACCGTAAACACATTTATTTATTCAATATCAGCAAAACAATAATAATTAGTATAAAAAGTTATCTGTTATGATCTGTTTAGATATCATATAATAGATTAATCGGAATTTCCTCACATTGTTATAATATACTATGATCAGCACCGAGCAACAATGAGAACTCTTTTGGTGCATGAACGTAGCGAACAAGCAAAAAAGCTTCACATTGTGTTTTGAAAGTGGCTGCAATTTTACGATATCTATATGCAGAAAACCCGATAATCTGTTTATCGTGATATCTCTGGTCCCTCCCCCCTTCAGACCGTTACAAAAGTAAGCTTTACAACTTCTCCTCAGACAAGGTCACGGTCGCGAAACACGTGACTTCGTCGTGATCAGTTTCACGGAAAAATGGCGCCCGTCAAATTAGTATATGTAAGAGAATGATAATCCCTTTCTTCATGAATAAGTACGAGCGTTAGCGAGTACTTATCATGATGAAAGGGATTATCATTCTCTTACAAACTTAGAATATTGTAAAGTGCTCAAGGCTCAAATGATCTCTTGATTGGTTTTATTCAAGAATTAGTTTCATTGTCAGTGCAATGTTTATAATTGATGCATGACTTCCTTTTTCGGCATGTCATTTATGGATAAGTTTTAGTGATGTGAGGACTTTCTTATCATTTGGGAAATATTTTTTTTTAAAATGCGTTATAGATATTAGGTGACACAACAGGAGAAAGAAAAGGTAGGAATTGTATGTTTCCTGATTGTGAGTATGAATGTAAATCATGTAATATTTTAGTGAGGAATTATCCTTTTTTATTTACAGTTTAAATCAATTAATACATTTGAGTTACAACTAAATTTTATTTCACAGCCAATAATTTGGTCCGGCTTTTTACATATCAAATACTGTTTCATTATGTCAGGGAAATGTTCAAAAATAATGCCCTTAAAAGTTTTTAATATGTTCAAAATTAAATTTGTGGGTTTTTTTTTTCGGAATACATTTATTGGAAATAACTATTCTCCCCAACCGCTGATCAAGTAATCAAAGTTTTGGAAAGCTAAAGATTTAGGTTATTTTTTATCTGAAAGATTTGTTTTCTTTTTTTTTTTGCATTGCTTTGGTATTGTTTAATTTTATAGTAATTTGAAGTTATTAATATTTTCATAATAAAATTCACGGTACCAATTTTACTGCACCAGTAAACTTAAAATTGTTTTGAAATTTTTGTTTGTTTCACAATTCAACTTTTAGTCAGTTTCAATCACTGTGTGATAAATCCTTTCAACCTGATAAATGTGCTTCGGGGCAGTTGTAACTCATTTATAGAAACTCTTTGTTTTGAACTGAAAATAGACCCAAATAATAGGATAATCCCTGACTAAGAACATGATTTACATTCATTCTTCACAATTAAGAGGCATCCAATTCTACAATTTCATTGGTCGAGAGTACTTTGCTATATTCTAATTATAGTTCGCTTGGATGTAAACTTTAAACGTAAGTATTTACATATCATCGTGTTCACACATAGCACCCCCCTCATCATATGCGTATTTTTCGTGCGAATATTTTGATGCATTTAAAGTTATATTTCACTGTTGGTTTCATAGAGAACATTCACAAACTATTTCAGACCTGCTGAAGATTGTTTGGGTTGATGTTAACGATATGACCGTAAAATCACTGTAAATCCATTTGTGTGTCTTATTTTCACCAATCGTGTACAGAAACTTACCCAAATTTACTAATTCATTCATATAAACTAGCGTCGATGTATATTTTTGACATTATTGCGAACTGAACGCAATAATATTTTTTTTGTCAATAAATGATCAGTGTACACGATATGTTTAAGTGATCAGTTCCACGGTTTAATTCTGAATCAGTATGATAAGATCACATTTAATGTTTGTGGTTGTAATATTGATGAACTGCAGAGTGCACGTTTTGTCATTTGTTTTGTATTCCCTTTTTAGGCGAAGGAGAATATATTACTGTTAACGAACATTTGGTTGGAATGAATACAGAGCGCTTTGTGTGCCCTTGTACTTTCTCACGTTTTGGAGAAGGATAATGTCCCTCTGATATCTTTCGCACTCTCTCGTATTGTGACAGTGTATGGCGATTTTTATAATATCCTCATTAAATTCCTGTCTGTAATGTTGCAAAATTGATATTGTCTATTTGGTTAACTCTTTGGCTGTCTGACAGTTTTTTCTCGATGCTTTTGGAGTTGCTGTGAAAGCTTTGTTTTTTCCGCATAATGGGACCTATAATCAGAGAAAACTAGATATTGGCAATACCCCCATCCTACTTTCTGCTCTGCCATATGCATGAGTATAGTTCCACATATTTTAGATTAGACAGTGATGTTGGCATACAACTTCAAATTGTTACGCTGTCTGTAAGACACAAATGATGACCCCGCCTGACCATAAGAAATAATAAATTTAACACTTTGTATGATGATGTAACTGAAGGAGGACAAACCATTATCTGTTTATGCAGCTACATGTAGTACAACAAACAACCAATAGTCCAACTGCCTGTCTTTTCCAGAAAATTTGTAAAAAAAATAAAATCCTGTGGCCATGCACACCTACTTTCTGTGTTTGAACATCTTACAAAATATTAAAGCTGACCGTATCTTCAAAACCGTAGGAGGAGATAGCTAGACAAACAATGTATCCTAATCCGGACAGACGGACAGACAATAATCCTAGATAACACACACAACAAATGAAGTTTTTCTGAAGTTATGCATTTTTAAGATCCACTTGTAAAGTCTGTCGTCAAGTACTTTAAGTAAAAAAATGTTATTCGAACACACCGACTCTGCTGTTATGACTCATCAGTACGGTTATTGACCAGAATATTTCTTTTTTAAGTACTTTGAAGTTTTAATGTTATTAAATCAACCTGCAGTGTAATCATATAACAATAATAGAATCTGAAGCGAGATGATGTAGCAAATATTTTTGTTTTAAACGTTTCAAGACAGAATTCTCAACTCAAACACGCCCGAACATTAAAAGGTGCACTTGGCTTTTTTTTTCGATGCAATTATTGCCCATTTTTAGGATCCCCCCAAAAAAACTATCTTTGGGAGCAGAGATGCAAATTAATATTTAAGAAAGATAAATCTATTATCTTTCTTTGGATTTTTTTTTCGGCGGAATTTATACTTATGCACAAAAAAAGATCCACTTTGAATTGAACCGGCTACACTAGATTGTTTAATGAAAATTTGTCTATAATTTAAAAGTTTACAAATATCTCGAAGCTCCGTTAAGTTAAAGTTATATGTTCCTTTATTATATCTTTAAAAGCCTAAAAAACAGATGTAAACAATTTAAATATACCAATTTAGCTTTTTCTACCTTCTCTGCTCTGGCAAAGAGTTTAATTTCTTGTTTAATTTCAACTGGATTTCCGCCATTTTCCCAGATAAACCTTAATATGATCTTATCATACTGATTCAGAATTAAACCGTGGAACTGATCACTTAAACATATCGTGTACACTGATCATTTATTGACAAAAAAAATATTATTGCGTTCAGTTCGCAATAATGTCAAAAATATACATCGACGCTAGTTTATATGAATGAATTAGTAAATTTGGGTAAGCTTTTGTACACGATTGGTGAAAATAAGACACACAAATGGATTTACAGTGATTTTACGGTCATATCGTGTACACCATCCCAAACAATCTTCAGCAGGTCTGAAATAGTTTGTGAATGTTCTCTATGAAACCAACAGTGAAATATAACTTTAAATGCATCAAAATATTCGCACGAAAAATACGCATATGATGAGGGGGGTCCTATATGTGAACACGATATGAAAATACTTACGTTTAAAGTTTACATCCAAGCGAACTATAATAATTTGACGGGCGCCATTTTTCCGTGAAACTGATCACGACGAAGTCACGTGTTTCGCGACCGTGAAGGTGACGTCGTTGATAATTTTGCCCACGTCTCAATGTCGTGATACGAGAACTACTGAGCGACTGATGAGTTACTGAGCAGGAAGATATAGGCAAAGGAAAGCAAGATAAATATTTATAAGAATCATTTCAGTTGTGGGCTGTGCTTTATTTCATTTTATGCATAATAGAGGGTCTGTATGGGGTCCTTCATTTCTGTATTCTTTAATTTTTTAGGTGATTTTTCTATATTCTTTTATATTATGTGCCCATAATTCACTATTGTTTATATTTTAGCACCCGGTTATTCTCTATTCTTTATTTATTTGCCCTGTATTTCTCTATGCTCTATTTTTGGGGTCCATTTTCTGTAGATTTGGCCCATTATTCTCTATTCTGTAAACCCCAGCCAGACCCTGATGGCCCATTATTCTCTATTCTGTAAACCCAGACAGACCCTGATAATACCATAGTACTATGTAACCTTCAATTCACAATGTTATATCGCTTTCATGATACTACACTGAACGCTTGACTTTAATAAACAAATGTCGTCTTGTAAAAATTACATGTATTACACGAGGTATGATAACCACCTGCGATTTAAGACAAGATATGTATTGGCTGGAGGTCAAATTTGTCCTGACATGACCGTTGGCCGGACTGTATACGGAAGTCATGTACTTTGAATTGATTTTCAATATATAGATACAAGATTTCCCTCATTTTGATATTTGACTTTGTACAGTAACGAAATGTACAAACAAATTCGTACATTTTTTTTTATTGGCATCGTCTGTTTGGTAGTTTGTTCGGTTGCAAGTAATGCAAATGGTAATTCTAAAAACAAATCAAAGCGAAAAGAAATGAAAATAGAAACTTTGAAGAAGATTGAATGCGCAGACGACAAATCAGCACAGTTGGGAAGTGTCGTACATTTTCATTATAAGTTGTCTGTAGAAGGCCACCCAGACATAACAGAGTCTACGTAAGTATTGCTGCTTTCTTTACGATGGTTGGAAGGTCAAGAAGCATGTTAAACGAACTTTTCCTAAGCTTGTTAGTTTTTTCGTTTGAATTGTTTCACATTTTTCATGTTGGGGCCTTTTATAGTTGACTGTACGGTAAGACGGCGTGCACAAAGTTGAAGGCAACTGTAAAATGCGCTTTTAAAAGTAGTTTTATACAACCGTGTTTAAAATATCTTTTAAATAGGAAGTCTTTTTTATGATAAAATGATGAATGCTAGCCATTAAAATCCACATTTACTAATAAGGTTATCAAAATTAAATCTATAAAGTATGAAACGAACATAGAGAAAACGGCAAAAATATGTGAAACTTGTAACATTAAATAAACATAAAATAGAGTTTTTGACCTAAAATTTATACAAATTCAACATATTTTCCCGCATTTTCGTATAATAGAATTTTTCGGATTCGGACTATGACGTTATACGAAATTCACCGCAAAAAAATTAAAAAACGGCCAGGGTGGATGAGTTTGAAATGTAGTTCGTTATGTGTAAGAAGTAGTAATTTGGAAGGATTAATATTCGAAAATGGAAGAATTGGTAAGAAAAAATATTTAATTGCTATTTTTTTATTTCAAAATAACTTGATATTCCAAATGTGCATAACAAGAGGTTTAAAAAAAATCTGCAAAATATGAATGATTCGATAGTCCAGGCTGAACACCTGAATTTTTTTAATGTCCAGCTATTATGTTACACTGAATTTAAAGAAATGACGTTTTAACGCTATTTTCTGAATAGGGTCCACGACATAGTCGCTTATTATTTCCATTACACTGCTCTTAGCATATATATATTTATATTTCCAGAATGTGCATATGCTGCACTTTGTTGTTAAAAAAAAAGAAATATATTGAACGTTTATGTTTAAAGTTATGTGATAAACTAAGTGTCCAGTGTTTTTGTTACGCGTTTGTTTTCTGGGGGAAAATGTCGACGTCGTAAAATGATTGAAGTAATTTGAAGACGTTACGTTTGTGGACTCAGCTTTGTGCACGCCGTCTAAGCGTTTTTCTCATTGTTGAAGGCCATACGATAACCTATAATTGCTTATATCGACGTGCATTTGGACTACTAGTATATATTGGATAGTTGTTTGATTGGCAATATAATCATACTACATCTCCTTACCTTATATTTCTCTTGCAAGTCGATAAAAACAGATAAGTATAATAAACGACAATTTTTCGTCGTAAGATATCTCTTATAGGGAAGGCCATGGTCGTTGGTGTTGGATGGAGTCCTCTTTTTCCAACTAAAGATAAATCAGTTATAAATTTAAGATCGTTGACACTCAGTCAGAATCCGTAGCAACTGTTTTGCAACGGAGTGTTCATAATATTCGCCCTAAAACTTTATGATATTCCAGCTAAGGAGCCATCTTTAGTCATTTAAATGTTGAAAAGAAGTATAAAAAATCCTTTTAATATAAAGTTTTATCTTCTTCGTTGAACATGTCTCGATGTCAATTTGACGTTATAAAATTGGCATTGTATAGACCAAATTGGATGTTGTTTTTGTTAATTTCGCGTGTATGGACCAACAATTCCATTTTTTTTGTGAGGATCTGCTCATAACCCAAATTCAACTTTGTGTAACACATTTTTGTTCAAGGATGTGGACGATGTTTAGCAGTTATATTATAAGAATTTAATGCTTATTAATTTCTAATTTCATTTGGATGTAACGCGATGACCGAAGCGCATTTTTAAACATGCACACGATCAACACTTTTTCAACTCTTTACAATTGCGAAAAGAAGCGTTCAATTCTTATAATTAGATGTATATGCTTTTATCACGAAATTTTATTTTAGATCAAGCCTTATTTTTTTTTCCTATTGTTCATTTTAAAGAAAAATATCGATCTTTCGAACAGTTAAGTCCGAGAAGGTTCAACCAACCGTTTATGAAAATTTGTACTCGGAACTATCACCGGTATTTTTTCTGAAGAAGCAAGTTGCAGACCTATTTAAAATTAGTGTATTCAGTATATATGCATATATTTTTTTTAAATCTTGTCTTGTACTTGAGGTTCAAATTTCGTTTATTTTTAAAGGTACGAAAATGGAAACAATGCTAAAGATAAAGGCGTTGTACATATGTTGACGAAAGGAGTGACATTGAAGGGGCTAGTTAAAGGCATCCCTGGTATGTGTGTGGGAGAAATAAGAAGACTGACTCTTCCACCACATATGGCGTTTGGGTCTAAGGGAAATGGTGAGTTAACCAACAAAAAAGGGAGCAGACTATACAAAAAGGACACACAAGACTCATAAATCACAGAATTATAACTAGCAACGGCATGGCAAAAAAAAACCGAAAAACTAATAAAAGACAAATCAGTTCACAAAACTAGATTGACCCCCAACAAAAACCGGGAGTGATCTCGGGTGCTCAGGAAGGGGGGGGGGGGGGGGGGGGGGGGGTGTTAGCAAAGTCTGCTTAGATCCTGTTATTCTGCTTATGACAAAGGTTGATGGATTGGCTAAATAGATATTAGAAGATGTGGCATGAGTGCCAATGAGACAACTCTCCATCCAAGTCAAAATTTGTAGAAGTAAACAATTATAGGTCAAAGTACGGTCTTCAACACGGAGCCTTGGCCCACACCGCACAGCAAGCTATAAGGGGCCTCAAAAATGACTAGTGTAAAACCATTCAAACGGGAAAACTAACGGTCTAATAAAGTCACTTCTTAGCCGAAAACATTAGAAAGCGATGTATACTAAAATTTTTTTTTCAAAATTAGTTTGGCCCGTAAAAATCTATTCCATGTAGGAAAATGAGAAATAACTTTGGATGAAATATCACAACTATATACCAGTATACAAAATATAGGTCAAATGTTTCGGTTGTGAGTCACATCTACCTATTTTTATTTACGGTTGTCAGACTAGGAATAACTATTTATTCTCTATGTTCTTTAAATCCATTCATTTTACGATAGTTCAACAAAAAGTACCAATTTATCGGACGAAGAAATGAGCAAACTTCATAAATATAATTATTAATGAAAGGAGATGTGGGGTATTCGTCAACAAGACACCATCCAAGGACACAAAAATAATATAAACATACAGAGGTGAGCAAACAACAGACAAATGATTTACAGCATATCAAGCTCAAATTCTCAGAGTCAGAAAGATGTAAAAGAATTTACAAGATTATCAAATTTTGACAAGACACACCAAAATCCCTAAATGACAAACACATTAATATATATATAAAAGTAAATAAAGATTGCCACTGACGAGGTTCCCGACAGTTACGTGAATATATGACCGTGTTGAACTGATTTTTTTTTAGAACTCAATCTCCCCATTTTAATCTCGACCACTGGAAAACGAAAGATACATTTTAAAAGAAATGTAGAATAAAAACGAGTATTGAAAAAACATAGGTTTCTATATTAGAAAAAAGAAAACAAAAAACACAAGTTCCATCACAACAATAATGAACGATATACACTTATTGTCGCAAATATATAAACAGAAGATGTGGTATCATTGGCAATGATACAACTCTCCACAATAGACCAAATGACACAGAAATTAACAACTATAGGTCACCGTACGGCCTTCAACAATGAACAAAGCCCATACCGCATAGTCAGCTATAAAAGGCCCCGAAATGACAAATGTAAAACAATTCAAACGAGAAAACTAACGGCCTAATTTATGGACAAAATAATGAACGAAAAACAAATATGAAACACAGCAACAAACGACAACCACTGATTTACAGGTTCCTGACTTGGGACAGGCACATACAGAATGTGGCGGGGTTAAACTAGTTTGAAGGCGCCCACCCTCCCCCTAACCTGGGACAGTGGTGTAACAGTGTAACATAAGAACAAACTATAAAAATCAATTGGAGAAGGCTTAACTCATCAGATGGATACAAATAGAAATACATCCAACAAAAACACAAAGTGGACGTGGACAGGTACTTGATAGACTATATATATAGATATATAATTATATATCAATTAATTTGTTTTTATTTCAGACCGTTTCCCACCGGGAGCCACTGTGATATATGAAATAGAGTTACTTGACGCAAAGCTAGCTGATGAAGTTCTACAGAGATTTACACGTGCAGATCTCAACGAAGATGGTGTGTTGGATGTAACAGAGGTATGCTTTTTTCAGATTTAATTACAAATTTTGATTAAAAAAAAGACAATATGAGATTAAAAAAAAAATAAATGTAAAATAGATATGAAATTACTAGTAGTTCAGAAGCATGTTATATTTTACACAATGCTTACCTCATCTGTGTTATAGACACGCCTTCTATTGGTCTTCTCGAGACGACGACGACGAATAAAATTCACTGAAAGGAATGTGGTATCGTATTTCCTTGGGGAAATGTTTTTATATGATTTTTCGGATCTTCAACAATTGTCTGGCAGTATCTTCGAAAATGTGTTGTTTTGATTTTCGTTTAATATATTGAATTTCCGTTTTGGAGACGGATACGGTTCTTTCTCCCACCCACACATCAACATAAAAAAAAATGCCATATAAACTTTTTAAATTTATCCTTTGGAATTTGATAACATACCGAAATATTGAGCAATTTAACTCCACTGCAAATCCAAAAGGTGCCTGTTTATCCATTACGAAGTGGAGGCGACATAAAATTATTTCGTATTGCAGAATGAATTTGTTTCAAGGAAAGTTCCATGGAATAAGTTTGACGCCACCAATCCGCAATGTAGATACATTTAAATCTAACCATAATTATTTAAATCTAATTTGCAAGGTCACTTAATTACCGAATATTACGAATTTCGAATTTGTAAATTTTATTTAATTCTTACAATATTATACTTTTTTCTAAGTTATGATATTGAATTTGCAAATATATAACTCTTACAATAGTATGCTTCTTTCTTAAGTTATTAATAATAATGATGAGTCTGAGTTTTCAGATGCCGTTTTATTACTTTTATGTTAATTATATGTAATCCTTACATCAGATTCGTTTTTCGCGTGTATCAATGTATGGAAGCGCGAAGTAGACTACTAAATTTACTCTAACTTAACAGACAGTAATTGTTCACTACTTTACATTAAGGAGAAAAACGAAACAAACACCACTCATATTAATGACCGAAGTATATAAGGGTTCAAAATGGTTAGGAAATTATTTAAATAAATTTACATAGATCGTTCCTTAAAAGTTGACATGATGTATAAATCGACATGGACAAATTTATAATTTTCGCTCTTACATTTTATTTAACAGTTGGAAGCTGTTATGAGCATTGCCATGAAGGATGGTAAATTTCCAATGCCAGATGACCCAGCAATAATGGAAGGAATGTTGAATGAACTATTTCAATTTGCTGATAAAAACAAAGATGGCGGTATCAGCACAGATGAATTTAGGACTATGCTAAAACTACAAAATAATTTAGGTCGTAAGAGAACCAAACCAAAGCAGGAACTGTAGAACAACTTGTCAATTTATATTTATTTTTGTTACTTTTTAAAATAAAACAATTAAAAAGGTGCATGTTTGTTATTCGTCGCAAAATCATTTAAAGTCATTCATTTATTTAAATCCAGTTTATATAGGAACCTGAATTTTGTACACTTGAAAACGTCGGATACGATCTTTCTATTCAGAAGTTCATCTTATATTTATATATATACCAATGGTAATATGTACATATAAGGAACGATATAACGATATTAGATATTAAAATAACCTTTGATTTAATGTTATGATATTATGATAAAAAACGAAATACGATGTCATAGAAAACTTATTAAATAAGACTAAGCAACCCAAACAAAACCAGGGGTGATCACATGTTTTTGACAGAACAAGTTCATAATTATTAATCTTCAAATATCGGACAATTTGAGAAAACGTAATCGTCAGCTGCGGCTCTTTTCACAAAAAATCTTACGACTAAAATTGATCGTAAGTTGTATTTAAATGTTCATGACTTACGAGAAATTTTTCTTGTAAGATTTTGTGTGAAATGAGTCACAGATACCGAAACATTGACAATATGTAATCGTCAGATACCAAACCATTGACAATACGTAATCGTCAGATACCAAATCATGGTCAATACGTGATCGTAAGATACCGAACCATGAACAATACTTAATCGTAATATTCCTGAATCATGGACAAGACGTAATTTTCAGATACTGAACCATGGACAATATGATATCAACAGTTATTACATTGGTTGCAATTCAATTACATTGATTTCCCAGTGAAATAAAAACCGATAATTTCACATGTGAAATAAACGTGGTTATTTCACTCCTCTGACGTCATACAACAATAGGCGTTGTCATGACGTCGGATGAAAACAAATTGTGAATGCTTAGAAAAAGATATAGTTCCTCACATATTCTAGTTTAATTTCAGAAAAAAGACCATTTGCCAATGTAATAAAAAGAATAACTAATCAAAGAATTCAAATATCGAAAAATATTCAACTCGTGACCGAACAACACTGATAATTAACTCATGCGCTACGCGCATTCGTGAATTGGTCCGAGTACACAGTTATCGTCCTTTGATTTTCGTTGTCCACGAATAAAGTCCCTAGTGTGGACAGTGTGTTGCTTGCCAATTTTTTTAGTACCCCTTCCAAATGTATTTCTTAATGTTTTATGCCTCAAATAGCAAGTAGGGGGATGAAATTACACTGTAAAAAAATTTGGGTCATGAATTGTAAAGTAAAGTAGTGATTTGGTCCAGCTGAAAAAGGTTAAAAATTAGCACTTCGGAAGCTGTCAAAAGATTTCAAGACCCCCTTAACATAGAATTGTCCATATTTTGAGTTAGAGCCGATGAAGTTTTCTATAATTTTGATATAATTTGTCCCAAAAGTAGTACAACACACTGTAAAAATATTATTGAGAAAGCGCAGGTGGGATTTTTTTTATTTTCATTTATTGTCTAAAAGAAATGCACTACGAAATAACTGTGTACTCGGACCTAAGAGGCGAAATCAGTAAATATTGAATCTGTACTTTGGCAACTTCCCTGAATGATTTAATGGTGTCAATTTGTCAAATAGCATGAAACTAAAGGATTTAAACTTTTATTTGATAGAAATTCTGCAAAAATTACTCATTTTGGCATTATATGGTCAAAATAAGCATTTAATTCAAAGCTTTTTCAATTTTGATGCATAAGTGGCATTCTGACTTTCTATGTGACAGAATTTCCTGTGTCAATATTTGTGTTTCTATGCTTTAACCCAGTTGTATTACTCATTTGTGAACTCTGAATCTACAGAAAATAAGATTATCTCAGACAATATGTGCAAAATGTGTTGTATAAATGACCCTCGTCTAACGGCCTGTTTGGATCAAGTTAAATGTGAGGACCTTGGTACATAAAAGTTGAAGTCCATAATAAAGATTTCACTAAATTTGTATTAAAAGCACTTCACAATGTCTTTTGTACCTGTTTCATTTCACATAGTATCTTTCTTTTCTTATGTTAAATAGCAAGTGGTTCAAATATAAGCCTGTTGAGGCTAAAATTGCATGCAAATTTTTCACTAAAAAGTGAAAAATCTTTGTATCAGACCATACTGTCTGCAAAAAGGTTGAATGCAGGAGTCCTTTTATGCTCAGATTTATTGTATCATGTAACCTGAGTATAGAAATTATAAAAAAGACACAAATTTTTATTTCCTATAGCTTCAGTATGCATTTTTAAATGTAAATATGTGCTACGGCCTAAATTGACCCTAAATTATTTTCAGTCTTACTTGGCTTAAGACCCTTTTATACTAATATGGTATGCTATTTGTAATTTTTCTTTCCATTTAAAGTACATTTAATACATATGTAAGGATTATTTATAACCAAAAAACTCCACAAATTTAAAATTGCTGGAAAATAATACATCTTCATGTAAGGCCCCCCTTCATTGGAAAACCTCCATTTTTTGGCACAGGCTCATATAAATTTGACTTTTAAATAATTGTGATAAGTCTGATAAATCAAATGAGTATTCTATTGCTTTAAATACATAAAATGTCATATATTAAGGCATTTAAAATGTATTTTTTTGCAATATTTTAATTTTTAAAGCCCCAAATGTTGATAGTTGAAATTTTTCAATTTTAACGTCAAAATTTAACACGCGAAGTTATATATAGAATTTATCATATTGTCTATAATATATATCCTATTGCCATGAAACTTTGTCAGCAGTCTCATAATTTATTAAGCTTTGGTCATACCAAGTTTTATTAAGATTGGTCAAATTTTTCTATCCTATTAGGTCCGAGTACACAGTTATCGTCCTTTGATTTTCGTTGTCCACGAATAAAGTCCCTAGTGTGGACAGTGTGTTGCTTGCCAATTTTTTTAGTACCCCTTCCAAATGTATTTCTTAATGTTTTATGCCTCAAATAGCAAGTAGGGGGATGAAATTACACTGTAAAAAAATTTGGGTCATGAATTGTAAAGTAAAGTAGTGATTTGGTCCAGCTGAAAAAGGTTAAAAATTAGCACTTCGGAAGCTGTCAAAAGATTTCAAGACCCCCTTAACATAGAATTGTCCATATTTTGAGTTAGAGCCGATGAAGTTTTCTATAATTTTGATATAATTTGTCCCAAAAGTAGTACAACACACTGTAAAAATATTATTGAGAAAGCGCAGGTGGGATTTTTTTTATTTTCATTTATTGTCTAAAAGAAATGCACTACGAAATAACTGTGTACTCGGACCTAAGAGGCGAAATCAGTAAATATTGAATCTGTACTTTGGCAACTTCCCTGAATGATTTAATGGTGTCAATTTGTCAAATAGCATGAAACTAAAGGATTTAAACTTTTATTTGATAGAAATTCTGCAAAAATTACTCATTTTGGCATTATATGGTCAAAATAAGCATTTAATTCAAAGCTTTTTCAATTTTGATGCATAAGTGGCATTCTGACTTTCTATGTGACAGAATTTCCTGTGTCAATATTTGTGTTTCTATGCTTTAACCCAGTTGTATTACTCATTTGTGAACTCTGAATCTACAGAAAATAAGATTATCTCAGACAATATGTGCAAAATGTGTTGTATAAATGACCCTCGTCTAACGGCCTGTTTGGATCAAGTTAAATGTGAGGACCTTGGTACATAAAAGTTGAAGTCCATAATAAAGATTTCACTAAATTTGTATTAAAAGCACTTCACAATGTCTTTTGTACCTGTTTCATTTCACATAGTATCTTTCTTTTCTTATGTTAAATAGCAAGTGGTTCAAATATAAGCCTGTTGAGGCTAAAATTGCATGCAAATTTTTCACTAAAAAGTGAAAAATCTTTGTATCAGACCATACTGTCTGCAAAAAGGTTGAATGCAGGAGTCCTTTTATGCTCAGATTTATTGTATCATGTAACCTGAGTATAGAAATTATAAAAAAGACACAAATTTTTATTTCCTATAGCTTCAGTATGCATTTTTAAATGTAAATATGTGCTACGGCCTAAATTGACCCTAAATTATTTTCAGTCTTACTTGGCTTAAGACCCTTTTATACTAATATGGTATGCTATTTGTAATTTTTCTTTCCATTTAAAGTACATTTAATACATATGTAAGGATTATTTATAACCAAAAAACTCCACAAATTTAAAATTGCTGGAAAATAATACATCTTCATGTAAGGCCCCCCTTCATTGGAAAACCTCCATTTTTTGGCACAGGCTCATATAAATTTGACTTTTAAATAATTGTGATAAGTCTGATAAATCAAATGAGTATTCTATTGCTTTAAATACATAAAATGTCATATATTAAGGCATTTAAAATGTATTTTTTTGCAATATTTTAATTTTTAAAGCCCCAAATGTTGATAGTTGAAATTTTTCAATTTTAACGTCAAAATTTAACACGCGAAGTTATATATAGAATTTATCATATTGTCTATAATATATATCCTATTGCCATGAAACTTTGTCAGCAGTCTCATAATTTATTAAGCTTTGGTCATACCAAGTTTTATTAAGATTGGTCAAATTTTTCTATCCTATTAGGTCCGAGTACACAGTTATCGTCCTTTGATTTTCGTTGTCCACGAATAAAGTCCCTAGTGTGGACAGTGTGTTGCTTGCCAATTTTTTTAGTACCCCTTCCAAATGTATTTCTTAATGTTTTATGCCTCAAATAGCAAGTAGGGGGATGAAATTACACTGTAAAAAAATTTGGGTCATGAATTGTAAAGTAAAGTAGTGATTTGGTCCAGCTGAAAAAGGTTAAAAATTAGCACTTCGGAAGCTGTCAAAAGATTTCAAGACCCCCTTAACATAGAATTGTCCATATTTTGAGTTAGAGCCGATGAAGTTTTCTATAATTTTGATATAATTTGTCCCAAAAGTAGTACAACACACTGTAAAAATATTATTGAGAAAGCGCAGGTGGGATTTTTTTTATTTTCATTTATTGTCTAAAAGAAATGCACTACGAAATAACTGTGTACTCGGACCTAAGAGGCGAAATCAGTAAATATTGAATCTGTA